CCTAAAGCCTATAAGCCCTAAACCCCAAACCCCAAGCCCTATACCCTAAACCCTATGAACCCCCAAACCCCAAGCCCTAAACCCTAAACCCTATAAGCCCTAAACCCCAAGCCCTAAACCCCAAACCCTATAAACCCTAAACCCAAGCCCCAAGCCCTAAACCCTAAACCCTAAAAGCCCTAAACCCCAAAACCCCAAACCCCTGTTTGTGCTTGGAAGGCCCTGCCTTTGTCTGGGTCGAGACGATGCGCAGGAAAAGTCATCCGGGCTTTCGCTAGGGTATAGGGTTTACGGTTTAGGGGTTCAGTGCTTAGGGTGTAGGGGTTAGGGGTTTAGGGTTTCGGGTTTAGGGTTTAGGGGCTTTGGGTTTAGGTTTAGGGTTTGGGGTTTGCAAATGCTTCAGGGTCTAGGTTTGAGGGTATACTGGCTTACGGTATCTTACGATCGATCTACCTTTCTACTTGCATATATCACATAGTCGGATAAGCAAGTAGTTGCTTTATCATATCTAGATATACATATACATATACAAACATACAAACATACCCTAAGCCCTAAACCCCAAACCCTCTACATATTTCTGCATATGGATAGATCACCCGGGAAGTTCGGGGGTCGGGCTTTCATGTTCTGGGGACTTGCGTCCAGGTCCGATACTTTACTCCTGAAGGGTTTTGGGCTTAGGATTTATGCAATCGGTCATGCGGACTGTCGCGAGGCTTAGGATTTAGGGTTACTAAACCCTGAACCCTAAACCCTAAACCTTTAAGCATTAGAACGAGGGTTGCTGTGCGTCAGAGCACTAGAATCGCTAGAAGGCGGAGGGCTTTTCTTTCAGGGTTTAGGGTTCAGGGTTTAGGGTTTAGGCTTTGAGGTTTAGGGTTTCGGTCTCAGGGTTTAGGAACGCTTCAGACTCTATTGGCGCAGGGTTCTTGGGGGCAGTGCCCTTTTGTCCCTTTTGCTTTGGGGCTGCTGAAATTTGAAAGCCTCAACAGAAACAATCGGACGGCCCGATACGTTTTCGGGATTCGTAGGTACGACAGGGGTACTGTAGTTTTGGGGGTTCCAAATTATAGTTAGACTGTATAAATATGATATACCCCCAAACCATATTCTAATTATTAAGGCCCCTATATTACTTGTATATAAGGTTCGGAAAAGCTATATATATATATATATATATATACACACATTACAGGCCTTTGTCTGGTGTTATAGTCAGTGTGATTGGCAAGGACATCCAATGGTAGTCCTTGCAATCACGCTTGAAACTAGAGAATTGTACTTTGCCTTATGCTATACCGTGTAAACCCCGATGCAAACTCTTGCAGAAACTTGTGGACCTCTTATCGAGATCGCGCCGGGATGCAGTAGTGTCAGTGACTACTTTGTATATTTCTGTGAAAGCATCATTGTTTTAACATATTATTCCCCTCATATTCGTATAATTTTTTGGTGTTTTTATGGCTTGGGGGTTTAAGTGTTTGGAGTTTAGGGGTTTAGGGGTTTAGGGTTTAGGGGTTTAGTGTTTAGGGGTTTAAGGTCTAGGGGTTTAGGGTTCAGGGTTTAGGCGCTTGGGGTTTAGGGCTCCAGGGGTTCAGGGTTTGGGGGTTTAGGGTTTGAGGGTTTACGGAACAGTAAGGCGCTGTACAGGTAACTGTGTTCTTCGGAATCTTCTAAGAGACTTGAGGGCTGCCTCGGTTTGTTCATATCTGCTGAAGAAGATTTGGAGCATCTCCACATGCAAACCCTAAGCCCTAAACCCTAAACCCTTAAACCCTAAGCCCTAAACCCCTAAACCCAAAAGCCTAAAACCTAAACCCTAAACCCCTAAACCCTAAACCCTAGACCCTAAACCCCTAAACCCTAAACCCTAAACCCTAAACTCTAACCCCCTAAACCCTAAACCCTAAACCCTAAACCCTAAGCCAGGGCCAAGCTCCCGCCTCTGCGACGGCCGGACTTTATGCCTCCCAGAGATGCCAATGCCAATATCCCTTAGTTAAGGAATACCTTAAGAACCCAAAACCACTTTTTTGTAGGCTCTTATTATAAACCCTGATATGGGGTTTATAGGGTCCCTACAAAAAAGTGGGTTTTGGGTTCTTAAGGTAAACCTTAAATCATATTGGGGATCCTACTAAAATTTTAAAGTACATTCCTTAATTAAGGGATATTGGAGTCTCTGGCTTCATAGCAGATGGATTTGACAAGTCCAAACCGGTCCTTCCCCGCTGGCCCAAAGGGAGAAAACTCCAAAACCCTAAACCCTAAACCCTATACCCTAAACCCTAAACCCTAAGCCCTAAACGGGCGGCATCTTCGAGCGCGTAAAGCGCTGGGGCCTCGAGGTAGCCGCCGTTTTGGTTCATGGCTTCTCCTGTCACCGTTTAGGGGTTTAGGGTTTCGGGTTTAGGGTTTAGGGTTTCGGGTTTAGGGTTTAGGGTTTAGGGTAGGTGGCGAAACTTTGCCGGACGACTCCGCGTGGTCACTTGAAATCGTTACCCGGGCGATTAAGGCTCCGTTCCAAACGATGATGGAGATTCTCGCACTCATGACATCAAAGCTCTTAACTGAACCCTAAACCCTAAACCCCAACCCCCCAAAGGTCTTAGAAGCACAGATCGACGTCACAGCCAAAATGCTCAACACGTCCAGAAAAGAACCAACATTACTGAAGATGATACTTAACACGCCGCACATAAAGCAAAACATACGAACCTGTCAAGAAAAAACCGTACAAGGTTTGTTGTTTGATTTTACACAAGACGCCAAAAAAACGCCAAGACCCTAAACCCTAAACCCTGATCCCCTAAACCCTAAACCGCCCAGCTCTGGGATGAAGGAGCTCGGTGGCACCAGAGCTGCTGCGCACCGTCGCCCGCGTGGAGAAGATGATCGAGGTCCAACTTTTCGAGACTCTATATGGGTAGTTTTCTAAATTAGGGTTTTTTTTGGGGTCCTTTTTATAAGGGTGCCATACTATATTGGGGACCTAAAAAGGGACCCTAATTTAGAGAACTACCCATATTGTAGAGGCCTTAATAATTAGAATAAGGTTTTGGGGGTTTCTGTATTATAGTTATAGTACAATATACCCCAAAGCCCTCTATTCTCTATTCTAATTATAAAGGCCCCGATATTACCCTAAACCCAAAACCCGCCCCATGAGGGTCCAGGATTTTTGACGGTCGGGGCCTTTAGGTTTTTTGATGTTGTTGGCGTTGTGTTTATGGTTTTCGGTTGGTGGTGTTTTAGGGTGCTAGGGTTTAGGGCCGAGGGTCTATGGTTCTTAGGGTTCCAGGTTTGGGGTAAAGGGGTCGGACGCCGCGAGGATTTATGGCGCGCTTGTGTAGGATTCCATAACTATAGGGAGGGGGTCCTTCTACAGTATAACGGGCTCCAAAACCCTATTCTAACTATTAAAGCCCCTACATTGAAGGGTATTGGGGTACAAGGGGTCTGTGGGGGTTTGGGGTTTAGGGCTTTAGGGTTTAAAGTTTAGGTTCCGGAGTTTGGGGTTCAGGGTGGTTTTTGTTCAAGGGTCGACGGTTTAGGGTTTGTAGGGCTGGAGTAGCGATGCTCAGAGCCTTGCCCATCCGGAACCGAAACCCCCAGACACCCCGAACCCTAAACCTTATAAACCCTAAACCCTAAGCTGGCCAAGTGCCATCACTATACTTCATTGCCCCTCCTTGTTCTTTGCGAGCTCCATCCTGGCCGCAATGTCACATCCAAGGCGTCGACTTCGACGAGAAGACGGAACTGCCGTCGGGTCCACTGAGGTCCCGCGATTCGAGAAACGGGCGGTCAAGAAGGACCCCGCAAGGAAGACAGAACAACCCTCCAAAGCGCCGGAGGCTCAGGCAGCAGAGCCAGGCCGCGGTTTCATATATGCCTTTGCCATTAACAAAGATCAATATGGATCCGGCACTTTTACCGTCGTGCAATGGCGGCGGAGGCGGGAACGTTCTTCGAAGCCGACTCTTGAATAGCAAGGATCGGATATACGGGTGATTGACCTTTGGTCACGATGCCCCCCATAGTTGGGTGCTGACTTCGGCGGGTCGACAAAGAGAGTGCCATCCCAACTTAAAAAA